TGCGGGACCAGATTCTTGTCAGTGCGGGACCAGATTCTTGTCAGTGCGGGACCAGATTCTTGTCAGTGCGGGACCAGATTCATGTCAGTGCGGGACCAGATTCGTGTCAGTGCGGGACCAGATTCGTGTCAGTGCGGGACCAGATTCGTGTCAGTGCGGGACCAGATTCATGTCAGTGCGGGACCAGATTCGTGTCAGTGCGGGACCAGATTCGTGTCAGTGCGGGACCAGATTCGCGTAGCGTCCCCTCATTTCCCCTAGAGTCTCTCGCCTCCCCTCGCAGGGACACGTCCCAGCGGTTACCCCAGCTCATCCCTAAGCTTGCTAATGTCCCTGAGGTCCCCAGGGGCGGGGATTAGTAAACGATCCCCTCTCGGGACGGTACACTAATGCCCCCCACCCAAGTTGAGGGACTTAGCTTGCAGTGTTCAACTTTTCCAACTTGAACCCGTACAACTCGCTGGTCTCTGGGGAGCCTAGCGCATCATTCACTTTAAAGGTTCACGCTAACTACGTGAACTTGTGTGTTCATGGAGCTACTGTACAGCCGCTGCATGTCCAGTTGCTGCACAGCGGGTGCACAGCGGATGTACAGCGGGTGCACAGCGGATGCACAGCGGGTGCACAGTGGGTGCACAGCGGGTGCACAGCGGATGCACAGCGGGTGCACAGCGGGTGCACAGCGGGTGCACAGCGGGTGCACAGCGGGTGCACAGCGGGTGCACAGCGGGTGCACAGCGGGTGCACAGCGGGTGCACAGCGGGTGCACAGCGGGTGCACAGCGGGTGCACAGCGGGTGCACAGCGGGTGCACAGCGGGTGCACAGCGGGTGCACAGCGGGTGCACAGCGGGTGCACAGCGGGTGCACAGCGGGTGCACAGCGGGTGCACAGCGGGTGCACAGCGGGTGCACAGCGGGTGCACAGCGGGTGCACAGCGGGTGCACAGCGGGTGCACAGCGGGTGCACAGCGGGTGCACAGCGGGTGCACAGCGGGTGCACAGCGGGTGCACAGCGGGTGCACAGCGGGTGCACAGCGGGTGCACAGCGGGTGCACAGCGGGTGCACAGCGGGTGCACAGCGGGTGCACAGCGGGTGCACAGCGGGTGCACAGCGGGTGCACAGCGGGTGCACAGCGGGTGCACAGCGGGTGCACAGCGGGTGCACAGCGGGTGCACAGCGGGTGCACAGCGGGTGCACAGCGGGTGCACAGCGGGTGCACAGCGGGTGCACAGCGGGTGCACAGCGGGTGCACAGCGGGTGCACAGCGGGTGCACAGCGGGTGCACAGCGGGTGCACAGCGGGTGCACAGCGGGTGCACAGCGGGTGCACAGCGGGTGCACAGCGGGTGCACAGCGGGTGCACAGCGGGTGCACAGCGGGTGCACAGCGGGTGCACAGCGGGTGCACAGCGGGTGCACAGCGGGTGCACAGCGGGTGCACAGCGGGTGCACAGCGGGTGCACAGCGGGTGCACAGCGGGTGCACAGCGGGTGCACAGCGGGTGCACAGCGGGTGCACAGCGGGTGCACAGCGGGTGCACAGCGGGTGCACAGCGGGTGCACAGCGGGTGCACAGCGGGTGCACAGCGGGTGCACAGCGGGTGCACAGCGGGTGCACAGCGGGTGCACAGCGGGTGCACAGCGGGTGCACAGCGGGTGCACAGCGGGTGCACAGCGGGTGCACAGCGGGTGCACAGCGGGTGCACAGCGGGTGCACAGCGGGTGCACAGCGGGTGCACAGCGGGTGCACAGCGGGTGCACAGCGGGTGCACAGCGGGTGCACAGCGGGTGCACAGCGGNTGAGCACCACCTGAGCACCACCTGAGCACCACCTGAGCACCACCTGAGCACCACCTGAGCACCACCTGAGCACCACATCAGCACCACATGTAATCAGAGGGCAAACTTTGTACAAGCACCTCGGTGGTGGGGAGAGGGGCTAGTTGGGGGAGGGGTGCGTCATGTCGATGTATTGTGCGTTCACGAATGCACTAAACGACAGTAACGTTATTCATACCTAAATCCCAGGTTACGAGAGTTACCTTTGGTTGACGAATATTTAATTATTGTTAGGCGCGGCAAGATATACGGTTACTTTATTAATTAAGACGGCATTATAACAATATATGATATACTGATTACGGTCGCTGTTGTTCATACGGAAGACCTTATTATTATTATTATTTAATTTGTTCACGATAGCGATCCCAGTTCGGCTATTGTATCGACTTCACAGAAAAGCGACTTTGCACGGACAAACATTGTATTGTTTACAAACATGATGCTTTTGTACCACCACCATCCCATCAAAAGCACGTCACCGCTACACCACCACCTCATCACCAAAACCACACCACCACCACCACCACCACCACTGTCTCTTATACACATCTAGATGTGTATAAGAGACAGCCTGAGCACCACCTGAGCACCACCTGAGCACCAC